CTCCTACTAAGCCTATGGGAGCTTTTGATCATCTGTAGCACCTGTAGAGCTTGGTTACAGGTGCCAAGGAGATGATGTAATGCTTGTAACCATGTTTACAGGGTGTTCTGACGAAACTGTAACACTCCTGCAGCCTATGTAAGCACTGCATGATGCATGGGTTGATCTTCAAGAGAGTAATTGTCCCAATTGGGCCAAAAAGGGCCACAGATCATCCCAAACAGTTTAATACTGTAGTCTGTGCTTATGTAGTTAAGGTTTCAATGATGTAGACCTTGTTTGTAGATTTTTCCCGAACTGTATGAACCTTAATTACACATGTAGCCCCCTTACAACATGTAGTATGATGTAACTGGAGGGGTCTACAGTGTATTTTGGTCCAATATCACTCAAGGACTACAAAGTAAGTGAAGGAGTAATAATTCAGGGGTACACTTGGTGAGCTACCCTAGGTTATTTTGCATGTAGATTCAGAATCTGCAATAATATTCTGAGTTATACTTAAGGTTCAGAAGTTATTAGGAGATTCTGGTTAAAAATGTTATTTTTCCTTATTTATTTAATTATTTAAATGGTTTTCTCATAGAATATTACAATGTAAGTGCACAGTGTAATAATGTCTCTATTATAGTGTTTCCACTTATTTAAATAGTATATTTTTATTGTTTTTAATTGTATGTACATATGTAAGTAATAATATCTCTAATTTATATGTAAAATGCTATGTACAGGCTGGCTCTGATTAGTAGCAGGCTGACAAACCGGTTCAAAACTTTGACCCCAAAGAGGATGAGGACAATGATGCAGGCTTAATTATGTGCAAAGATGGTGCTTGTTGAGATTCTCTATTCCAGAGGTTTTGCTGGCTTCTTTAGAAGCTTGAAATATCAACGGTGGAATGAAAAAAAATTCTCTTTGTGCTTGTGTTCAATTACTATGTGAGAGCCAAATGAGAACAAATATCATTCTGGGAGAGGTGGACAAGGAGAAAGAGTCATTGATCACAAGCTGATCAATGTCTATGAGAGCATGTCATGAAAACAATGAGAAACTGGATTTGGAAACAAGCTATTCAACAGAAGGGACAGAAGGGCGTGAAGGGGCCAACAAGACTGGTCCGAGTATCTGATCAGTCATTTTGAGGGCTTTGGCAGGTGCTAATCCCGATTGAATGAAGTCCTGGAGCATCCTTGCCCAGGCAAAAGCTGCACTTGAAGATTCCTCTGCGGCCAAAGCGGCTTGGGCATAGCAATTTCCACCTCTTGGAGCTGGACATCCAGTTTGAGTTGGCGGTTTTGAAGGCTCAGGTGCTCGGGCGAATTGGCTGTAGGCGCAAGGCCTTGACTTAGTGCATTGATGAGTGTGATGTTGGCATTGATCATCCAATTGTCTGTGTCTAATTGGTCATGATTCATCTGAAGCTTGGCATTTGTTTGACTGGCCATTTCATCCTGAGATGGAAACAGCTGGTCAGTTATCCTCTCAGCATAGCTGACTCGTTGCTGAGCTTGTTAATCTGGACGTTGTAAGACTCAAAATTGGTTGTGAGAAACCTTTTGCTGAATGTTGAAGGGTATGGTGGAGTTGCAAGCTCTGCCCTTCTGTACTATCAGATAACAAGACCCACCAAGAAATTCATACATTTTTTTTCTAGTTTTTGGCTTCTCAAGGGTCACTGGTGCAAGTTCACAACTAATGAAGACATGTACAAGATGCACCTTTTCCTTGTACATGTCCTGATGTGAAAACCATCCCAATTTGATGTATGGTTGAAGTTCAAGTTGGCTTTTTGTTCATTTGGGTCTACATTACCCACATATTTGGGGGGTTTCCAGGGTCCTCACATGACCTGTATGAGGTGCATGAGGTGTACACATGACCTGACAAGCTGCATAAGTCAACTGTCAGAAGACTATGATGTCATGTGTTTACCTGTATCCTGTAGTGGTATGTTGTGTAGTGGTCCTGCATAGTTGAGTGTTGTACATGAGGGTTGTAAATGTTCAGAGGTGAGTTGTGTCATTGGTTGTGTAAGTGTCCAGAGGGTGTAGCTTCCAATCCAGTTGAGTTCCAGTGACGCCTCCAGTGGTGACCAAGGGTGAAATTGACTGTAGAATCCAGTTCTTGAGTTTGAATTTTTACACATTCAGCTACCACAATGTTGAGAAGCCAGAGCTGATATTGAGGCCACCCTAGTCGATGGGGACGGTGCCACTGCTGGTGTGCCAGTCCCCACTAGTGTTTGGGTTGTAGCTCTGGCTGTTGCAGGTAAGGACTGGATGGCATCAGGAGATGGCTGTCCTAGGGTGTTAACTGGTGAAGCGGGTCCACCTCGTTTGGACATGCTCCAATGATCAGGGGTTGTGGGACGTCCTTGTTCCGATTGAGGTTGAGGCATGAGTCAGGTCATCATTGTCATTCCCTTTTCCATGTGTGTTCAAGGGGACAGCAGAGGGTCAATCGAGCATAACCAGTTCCAGCTGTAGAAGTAACAACAAATTGCTCAACTCTTCTTTTTGGTCTCAGTAATGGCATTACCAACAAAATCCTCATCTTTGGGGTTGTCACCAGCTTGTCGTGCCAGCTCATTGGCATCATCCAAGATACCTTGGCCAGTTTTGTCTTGCCACGCCAGTACATCACAGATTTTTTTATCAAGGGTAGTAACCTACATTGGAAGGATCAAACCAATCAACATGTTTCCAACTTAAGAGGCCAGGTATGAAGACATACCTGTTATTCAATGCCACACCACAAACGACTCTCACCGCCGTTGTTGATCAAGAATTGATTGATCAGCTCACAAACCTCCCATTTGCTGACAGTGGAATTCTGCCAGAGGTCATAGCACCCTTTGACAGTTAGCCACTCAACAATCAGGTCACGGTTAGCCACTTAACAATCAGGCCAACGGACAAAAGACTGTCTTGGTTGCAATCCTTGGTCCATGAGCAGGGAGCCAATCTAGTTCCTGGCTGGCTTTGAGTTTGACCTCCACCTTGTGCTGCCCAGCCACCACGGGCTTGACCTTGGGCACCTCCACCCCTGCTGCCACAACTTCCACATCCTCTAGCTGGTGTTTGGTGATTTGTTGGGTGAGGGGTTAGAGTGGCCAAGGCTTGGGTGGTGTTTTGAGTAGGTTGTGAGGTGTCAGTCTGGGATGGCTGAGTTGAGTCGATGGTGGACATTTTGAAGCCAGAATTTCCATAAGAGGGGAAGGTTAGTAGTGAGGTTGGTGGCTGGTTTCCAGGGAACACTCATACACAGTGCCTAGACAGTGAAAATTGGCTGCTTATTTTGGATTCCAGAGCTCCAAAACACAAATTTGAAATCATGAGACTTGGTGAGGTGGTGCATAATGGGTCCCAAAAAATGAATATGAAATAATAAAAGCAAAAAATCAAGTTTCAAAATTTGTGAAAAATAAAAAATAAAATTGATTTTTTTTCAAAAAGCTTTGATATTCATTTTGGGGGAGTGGAAGTGCTGAGAGAAAGAAAGATTGGGAAATGAGAAGAATGATTATAAATGAAAATTTTGGAAAAACTGGTTTTCAGATGGCTTCAAACAGCTGTTGAGTGGGGCATTTCTGGACCACCAATTCAATTTTGGGTCTTAGTTAAACGACTCCCAAATATTGGAGTTCCGACTTCCCTCTCGGCCGCTGAGAGCTATACACTCTCAACGGCCGAGAGGGATTCCTCTTGGCCGGTGAGAGTATACACTCTCAGTGGCCGGGAGGAATCCCTCTCGGCCGGTGAGAGTATACACTCTCAACAGCGGAGAGGGATTACTCTCCGCCGCTGAGAGTTGAGTCCGGCACCGACTCCCAACCTCCCTGGGGGTTTTTGAAGATCGACTCCCAAAAACCCCCGGGGTTTTTCATATTTTTATTTTTTCTTGGGAGGATTGACTCCCAAACCTGTTGAAGGTTTGGGAGGTCCAACTCCCATCTCCGGGGGTGGACGGCCTGCGGACCGTCCGCAGGGGGTCTTAGCGACATCCGAAATATTTGGGAGTCGGAGCTCTAATATTTGGGAGTCGTTTAACTAAGACCCTCAATTTTTTTCATTTATAATCATTCTTCCCACGTTCCATTCTTTCTTTCTCTCAGCACTCCCACTCCCCCAAAATGAATATCAAAGGTTTTGAAAAAAAAATTGAGTTTATTTTTTATTTTTCACAAATTTTCAAACTTTATTTTGTGCTTTTATTATTTCATATTCATTTTTTGGGAGCTATTATGCACCACCTGACCAAGTCTCATGACTTCAAGTGTGTGTTTCAGAGCTCTGGAATCCAAAATAAGCAGCCACTTTTCACTGTCTACCCACTGCACAACAAAAGAAGAGTTTGGGGGGAAGTGCATAGAGTTTTCTGGGGGGGGTTATGCTTCATGATTTAATGTTTTAACTTTGAGGACCATAGATAGGAGAGCCATAGACACCATTAACCCATAGAATTCATGGCTTAATAGGGTCTTGTTATTTACCCATGATTTCATGGCTTGATAGAGACTTTACCTACCAAACCATGATCCTCTTAAACCATATGTAGCAAGATTGGTCCACCAAGGGGTATGGGTTAATAGGGAGTCAACTGTTCCTTGCTGGCATGAGTTTTTAGAGAGAATTCACAGTTCTTGTTCCATGGGGTTGTTGGAGGACTGATTGATGATGGTGGCTGTGATGAGTGGTGTGGGCAGTCTGATGGTGTCTGGTACTGATTTTTTTTTTTTTTTTAGTGCTTATTGATTTGACATTGCGCACCATAGTGAATACTAATGTCTATATACATACGATGACGTTTTGAAAAAGAAATACATGATAGAATATTTTTGAAAAATATTTATAACCTTGAGTGTTTATGAAAAATAGCTTTTGATGAAAGAAAAGAAAAATACCAAGCCCAAAAAAGAATAATCATGAAAAAATCCGCCTCTTTTATTGAGACTGAACCCCTCATATGAAGCCGAGTCCGACCATCTTTCGTCACGACTGCGGCCCAGACAGCGTGTTATGAGGTTGCTCAAGCCTCATACCCTGGATTAAAGCGGGCAGAAAGATAATCGAACTCGACCTAAATTTAGGATTCAGCCCGATTACCCTGCCGAAATACAGTGGTTGTAAAAATAAACTGTGAGTAAAAATAACTATTTTTTTTTTAAATGAAGAGAGAGAAGATCACAGAAAGAAGAGAAAGAGGATGAAAGAGAAAAAAAGAAAATCCACAACACTGATAATGATTTTTTTTATTCTTCTTCCATTTAGTTTTTGATATTTTTGAATTGATTGGTGTCAAGGATGAATTTTGAAAGGAGTTCAAATACCAAAGGATTGTCAAGTAGGTCTTTCAGCAAATTAGGATTGATTTTGATCTTCTTTGTGATTAACCTTGATCTGAATGATTTATGCTGTCGGTCAAATCTTCTACACTGAATTAGAAAATGTTTGACCGTTTCCGGAGATCGACAATGACAACAGTTTGGCGAATCGATTTTGTTGATACAAAAAAGGAAATTGTTGAGAGGAGAATGACCCAATTGGAGTTGATAAATTATTGAAGAAAGACCTCGTTCAAGATGGCTAAGGGAGTTGAAAATCTTGGTTGGTATGTTTGATAAAGAAATCTGATTTCGAATGATAGGATTTTTCTTTTGTTGAATCTGA